GTTCCTGGCGCCTGGAGGCATTTCATAAACTCGGGCTGCCTCAACGCCCTAGCTGCTGGACATCAGCTATCTGCATGCAGTGGTGCCCTGTAGGAACAGACTTACCTCCCACCACGTCCCTGTCAGCCTGATGCTTACCTTGCTGTGTCTTGTTTTCCATCTGGCAAATGGAAGTGTGTATGGTGCTGGTGCCACCAAGGACATGATCTAGGCCTGAGGCCTCTGATGTGTGCACCGGCCAGCTGAGCACTGGCTGGACAGGTCAGGCTGGGTGACTGCGGGAGCCAGTGGCTGGGCACCTGTTTTCCTTCTGCCTGCCACGTGTCTGGGATCTAACCCTTATCTCCTCACCCCCCAGCCTCCTCACCCTGGGGCAGGGTTTCCCACAGGGGACACGTGTTCTAGGGCTTCTCCTAGAGTCGCGCCCCTCAGTGAGCAGGGCTGAGGGAGCAGGTGAGTGAGGGCCACCCCAGCCGAGGTCTGGAGGCCTGTAAGCCAGAGCAGAGGGACGGCCTGCCGGCGGGGTCTGGCTGGATCAGGGCCCAGAGGGGACCTGCCGCACAGTCCCCAGAGCCATGGGAAGCCCAGGGTGGCCTTCTGGATGGATGTGTGGAGTCAGGGACATGGGTCTTTGGAGCCTGGCTCTGAGAGAGTGTTCTGCTGCCCTCACAGGTCTGTTGTGTCACTCGCCTCTCACCTGTCAGGAAGGGATCCTGCTGGGGCCCGTGATCACCAGCTGGTGTGGTTGGCACCCCTGGTCTGTGCCCAGCTGCGTATGAGTGAGGGTAGCCTAGCGTTTACCAGCAGCCTTCTATGTGACGGGTTTGGTGCTGGATGGGGTGTGATGATCCCAGGGTATAAGGCCTGTGACTGGCTCTGGCCGTTCCCCCAGGGGCTCTTGCATCAGCTTGGTCTGTCTCAATCCCCTGTGCCATGCCTAGGTCAGTCTCCTGGGCTTTGGGGACCCCTCTGACCAGTGGCTTTGGCGCCAGCCTCTTTTCCCCACCCAGCCTGTGAGTTCAGGGCAGTGGGAGACAGCTCCAGACGGAAGACGCGGGCAGGTGCCCGCCTCAAGTGCCTTGCAGTCCCCAGAATGCTGCTAGCTGGACAGCCACAGGGCTCAGGGCAGTGGAGGGGTGAGGGCTATGGCCTGTGACAGCGGCTTCCTGGGTTCTTGAGTCTCTGTGGTTCTTCCCCAAAGTGGGGAGCAGCCCAGTGTCAGCCAGCCCCCACCCTGGCACAGGAAGCGTGAGTGCTTCCCACCACATGGCCAGTAGGGGTACATTTGGTTTTTTTGTTTTGTGTTGTTTTTTGGTGTAAAGGAGTAGACTTTATTTTTTCACATTCAAAGGTTTATTTACTTGACAAAAATATAACACGATATTATCATGGACAGAGAGAGAACCATGGTTAGTGAGGTCTAAAGCTTATATACTTTTGAAAAGGTATCAGATACTACTAACATCACAAAATGCAGAAATAGGGGCTGGGGATTTAGCTCAGCGGCACAGCGCCTGCCTGGCAAGTGCGAGGTCGTGAGTTTGATTCCCGGTACCAGGAAAAAAAAAAAAACCAAAATGCAGAAATAGAATCACAGTGTTTTCATCAATGAACCCAGAACTCTTAGGAGCCCCCCATTATCTTTTATTTTTCTCTTTGTTTATGTTTGCAAATCTCATATAAGAGAAAATATGTGATATTTAAGTTCCTGTGTTTGATTTATTTTACTTAACATTATGGTCTCAAGGTGCATTCATTTTCCTACAGATAACTCAAGTTTATCCTTTTTTTTAATAGTTAAGAGACTTTATTCTAATAACTATAATTATAGTGCTTGTCAAAATGAAAACTGAAAACAAGTACGCAAAGTGGTTGATTACTGGAAGCAGTAAGAGGTTCCACAACACCAAATAAACCAGTTCTGAGGTTCCCCCAAGATAGATTTAACAACTCCAGCTTCTTCAGTGTTTATCAAAATACAAAAGAAAAAAGTACAGGGCATCGTTCTCAATGGCAGATAAGACCCTTGCAGGCTGAGGGAGGAAGCTCCTTCATACACGGAGTCGGGTGCTCCAGGACTGGTCTGGAGTGGACCAGCTGATCCTGCTGGCACATGCTCCTGCCAGCGAGACCCAGATGTCACCCAACACATCTGAGCGGGCACTGGGAACATGGGCTGCCACTCCAGGTGCGTACTCATCAAGGGTGAGGGTGGCGCTGGGCCCCCTGTCCCTGCCATGGCCCTCCCAGCCAGCCCCAAGGTGACCGTGGGCACATGAGTACAAGCACAGCACTCCAGAATGCAGGTGACCCAAAGACAGGCGGGTCACAGGCCTCTGCTGTGACCAGGCAGTAGGTGGTGTTTTCTTGTCGCCATCTCTTGCCTCCCCAGAGGAACAGCTGATCTGATGGACCAGCATTTGGGCCAAACCGCAGAACCTTCACCAGGCGGAGCCTTCCTCCTGTGTGTTCAGGTGTTCTCCTTATCTTGTATTTCTGTTTTTAAAAATGCACTGAGTTCGGGTTAACGACCAATCACCAAATGGATCCTGACACCGATCTATAGCCCAGCGGCTCCTGGAGGCCAGGTTCTCACGTACCCAAGTCCCTTCTCAGTTCTGACAGGTGATTCTTTTTTTACGATAAAAAAAGCTGAGTAGTATTGCCTCGGAATACCAGAAACTGCCTCGGTGAAACCAGACTGGATGAAATCGAAACGTGGCTGCCAGCGCATCTGCACGTACACAGCACAATGCGTGCACACTGTGAGCCGCCCATGGAGACAGCTTCCGGCACTCAGGACCACAGAGTCTCACGTTTGCCACAGGAGGGAAAAGCAGAGGCAGAAAGGAGGAAGTGAGGGAGAGGGGGCTTCGGTTTACTTCTGGACAGCGAGTCCAGCTCTTCATGGAGCCTGCTGGTGGCCGGACTATACCAGTTCCTGTGGTGTAGAGTGCAGCCCCAGCTTGTCTGTGATTTCAGCAGCATTCATCGTGTTGGGGAGGCCCTCCTTGGTAAGCAGGTGGATGACGTCCTGGAGCTTGTCCTCAGCAGTAGCCTCATGAGCTCCGCCTGAGACTCATTCACACGCTGTCTGTCATTACTGCCGACCACAAAGACCAAGCCTTGGGTATTCTGGAAGTAATGGTGCCACAGTGACCGGATCTTGTCCTGGCCACCCACATCCCACACAGTGAAGCTGGGGTTCTTGCATTCAGCAGTCTCCACCTTGTAACCTATGCTGGGAATGGCGGTCACAGTTTCACCAAGCTATTATGAATTGTATGTATGACTGCATACACGGGTATGCATGTATTACTCTAATACAATGTCCTTAACTCTTTCGGGAAGATAACTGGAAAGGTAACAGCTAGGTCAAACCAATTTTCAAGGTGTTTTGTTTTGTTTTTGAGACAGTGTTTCACCATGTAATTCAGGCTGGCCTCAAACTTTTGGCAATCCTTCTGCCTCAGCCTCCTGAATGCCGAGATTACAAGTTTGTGCCACCATGCCCAGCCCTAGTTCTAGTTTTTGAGGAATCTCCACACTGATTCCATCATGGTTGTACTAGTTTACACTCCCACCAACAATATAGAAGTTTCCTTTTCGCTCACATCTTCACCAGCATTTGTTATTACTATATTTCTTGATGATAGCCATTCTTTCTGGGGTGAGATGGAATCTCAGTGTTGTTTTAATGTGCATTTCTCTAACAGCCAGCTACTGAATATTTTTTCATGTATGTATTGACCATTTCTACCTGTTCTTCTGAAAAGCATCTATTTTTTTCTGTCGCCAGTAGGACTGCATTTGAACAAGGGGTTTCTGGGCCTGGTCCTTGTTTCGTTGTTTCTGTGAAGCTCCTTTACTGGTGAAAGCACATAGCCAGGCAAACGGAAGTGTGGCACTTGGGGAGGGAAGGGCCGGTGCCTGCTCCAGCAACAGACAGCTCTGGGGCTGGTCCCTGTCACCCTCATTCCCCATGGCGGGTGCTAGGACACAGCACTCTGCATCAAGTAAACTCTTTCCTGTGGGGGATGCCCCGCCCTGGGACAGGAGGATTCTGCTGTTCCCCGGGCCAGCCTGGTAGAGCTGTGATGAGGGGGGTAACGTAGGCAGCTGGTATGGCTGGTACCCTGTGGTGTAGGGGGGCAGCCTCCATCTCATCCCGCCTAGTGCAGCTCCCCCATGCAGTGCCCACCACCTGACCCCCAGACCACTGTGAACTTCGTGATGCCTCTGCGGTGCTCACGCACAAGGACTTCTGTTGTCAGCTAAGTGCTGCTCAGCCCCCAGCAAGCCCCTGTTTTCCTAACAGCCCCTAAAAGCCCAGCACTGTTAGGGAGCAAAGTCAAAATGGCAAAACGCTCCACTGTGTCAGTGAGGACACAGGGAGGCTGGGTGGGGGCAGCAGTTCCACTCTTCTCATCCCACACAAGACAGGGAGGGGCCTTACAGGCCTGGAGGGACCCTGTCCCGCTGTCTGGTGATAGCAGCCGGCGATGCCAACAGCCCCTCCCCGGTCCTGCTCTCTGCCTGCCCCCAGGACCGCCAGGACTTCCCTAGGCTTTGGGCCCATGTCTTCATCCCTTTTATAAGCGAGAAAACAGGCGCCTCTTCGACCACAACCCCTGTAGCCCACAAGTCCCTCTGTAGCTGCATTTTCTTAACTGCACCTCACCTGGAGCCTCTTCTTAGGGCCTAGTTTGGCAACTGCCCTAGACCCTGAAGCCCAGTACCTGAGTGGTCCTCGCCGGGGAATGGGGGCGATGCCCAGGAGAGGCCCTCCATGGCCATGCCTGCCCTGCCTCTCCCTCATGGGGGGGGAGGGGGTCAAGCGCTGAAGTCCAGGGTTCCTGGGTGTCCTCTGAAGCATCAGTCACTTAGGTGTTGGGCATCTCTCCCTCTTGCCTGCAAGCTGGGGACAGGGCCACCTCCCAGGACTGGGGAGGATAGAATAGGTACTGGCCACGTTCTCCAGCAGCCTCCCCCACCCCTAGGCGCTGCTGCTGTTGGGGGCCGCCGCCCTGGCCTGTCTCGCCCTGGACCTCCTCTTCCTGCTCTTCTATTCCTTCTGGCTGTGCTGCCGTCGGCGCAAGACCGACGAGCACCTCGATGCCGACTGCTGCTGCACGGCCTGGTGTGTCATCATCGCCACGCTAGTTTGCAGGTGAGGCGGAGGGGGCAGGGTAGGGGACGTGGAGGGTGGGGGTGATGGGAGGGGCCACCGGGGTGGGTGGGGCCAAGAATGGTGGGGTTTCCCCACCCCCGACCGCCGCACTCACAGTCCGGTCTTCTCCAGCGCGGGCATCGCAGTGGGCTTCTACGGCAATGGGGAGACCAGCGACGGCGTCCATCGGGCTACCTACTCGCTCCGTCATGCCAACCGCACAGTGGCTGGGGTGCAGGACCGCGTGAGTGGCCGTGAGATGGGGTGGGCTGTGCTGGCGGATAGGATTGCGTGTGGACAGTGGCGTGCTTAGTAGGGCCTCAGTTCCATCCTGTCCTGGCGGCAGGTGTGGGACACAGGAATGGCCCTGAACCGCACAGCAGAGCCCAGCCTGCAGAGCCTGGAGCGGCAGCTGGCTGGGAAGCCAGAGCCCCTGCGGGCTGTCCAGCGGCTGCAGGGCCTTCTGGAGACCCTGCTGGGCTACACCGAGGCCATCCCCTTCTGGAGGAACCCGGGCGTGTCCCTGGAGATGCTGGCTGAGCAGGTGGACCTCTACGACTGGTACAGGTGCGGTCCAGTGCTCTTTCCTAGTTATGGCCTTGGGCCCTCCCTGACCTAAGTGCCTAGTACCTGAGGCCTTGTAGGTGGGGGCAGGGCAGCTGGAGGTCACCAGTAATGGCAAGAACCTGCCAATGGACATTTTTTCCAAGAACCCATACCTGTCCCTGAGTCTGCAGCTGCCTGCGGCTCTCTCTCCTGCGGGCCAGGCTGTTTGCCCTGCTCTGACTAGCCCTCCTGCCCCTCTCTCTGGGCCCCATCGCTATTTGTGCCTGGCCCACACCCACATGTGCCCACAGGTGGCTGGGCTACCTGGGCCTGCTGCTGCTCGATGTCATCATCTGCCTCCTGGTGCTGGTGGGCCTCATCCGCAGTTCCAAGGGCATCCTAGTTGGGTGAGTCTGGGCAGGAGGAGTGGATTTGTGGGAGGGATAGGGGTCTGTCACCCTTGGGGTCTGTGGCAGGACCCAGAGGCCCTTGCCCATGGTCTGCCCAAGGTGAGTTTCTGTGCAGAGCCTGTGCTTGGATGCCTGCACCGTGTGCCCAGTATTGTGAGCTGCTTCCCCCAGCCCAGTCTGGGTTGCCTTGGGAAAGTCTGCAAATGGGAGACCTGGAGCCACCTGCCCAGCTCCCCAAATACTGGGGAGACCAGGAGACAAGGCTAGAACTCCTTGTAACCTCTGTCCCTGGATGTGGAGGCAGTCTAGTTGGCTTTGTTACTCACCAGGCCAGCTGGCTTGGGCAGGTACTGCATTAGCTCCCAGTCTCTGTCCCCTTGTCTCAAAAATGGAAAGAGTGACAGCGTGTCCTTAGGGTCGCTTAGAGGTAGTGTCACTGTCCCTGCCTGACTAATTGCATAGTTATGTCCCAGCTCCTATATGCGCCTTGTGCAGGAAGGGTCCAGAGGACTCTGCAGCTCCTGCCCAGTGGCACTCCCAGGCCTTGGAGGGACGAATAAGTAAAACAAGGGTCACAGGTGATAAAAACGGGAGAGAAACGAAGCCTGGTCAGGTAGCAGGGCAGAGTGCACGCTGCACCCAGAGTTCACTAGGGGGTGGTGCTGGAGCAGAGGCCCAGGGGAGCAAGAGTGCTTGGAGAGCACACAGGCCAAGAGGTTTGCCTAACCTGCACAAAGTCTGGGAGTCCATTCCTAGTACTGCAAAGAAAAAGGAGAGAGAAATCAGAGACTGTTGTCTGCTCAAGAAAGGGCTCAGAGACAGGCTTAGGGTCAGGAAGGCAAAGCCCAAGGAGCCTCCTGTCCTCTAGTCAAGCTGGGTGTGGAACCTGTCTAGGCCCTGGGCCTTGGGTGGGCCTGGTCTCAGCCAGAGGTCAGATGCCCAGATATACCTGGGTTTTGCCCTCTGGCTATAGCCCAGATAGTGGCATGCCCTAGCCCGCAGACTGGGGGCTGCTGATCGGCTTTCTTTGTCCCAAGGGTCTGCTTGCTGGGGGTCTTGGCCCTGGTCATCAGCTGGGGTGCGCTGGGTCTGGAGCTAGCTGTGTCTGTGGTGAGTAGCGGGCAACCAGGAGTCCCCGTCTGCTGAGCCTGGGTGGGAGGTAAAGTCCATAGCCAATAGTCCATCCCCTCACACCTTGTCCCAGGTCACTGGGTCCTTGTCATGGGCACACAGCATCCATATCCTCCTGAGTCATGCTCTACCTTCTTGAGCCAAAAGTGGACCCTGGGGTCAGGTTCTGCCCACAGAGGGCCCAGGGTACCACCTCCCCGGAGGCCCAGCTTAGTGACCCCCTTCCTTGTCTGCACCCACTCAGGGTTCCAGCGACTTCTGTGTGGACCCTGACACCTATGTGACCAAGATGGTGGAGGAGCATTCGGTGCTGAATGGGGGTGAGTTTGTGGCCATGTCCGAGTTGGCCCCCCTGGCTGGGCTGAACTGGGAGAGCCAGATGAACAGGGCTTGGAGAGGGAGTGTCCCTGCTTTCATGGCCCTTGATCTTGGAGAAGCAGGTCCTAGGCCAGGAAACTAGTGAGCCAACAGGACCACCTTGACCACCTTCCCAGGAGTGGGAGGCCGCTGATGTTTGGGGTAGGCAAGCAGCCCAGTGCTGCTTCAGAGTGGGTGGTCTGGGAGTGGAAGGCCTCCAACAGGTAGCACTGGAGTTGAGCCAGATGAGGCTGCAGTGGCCCAGAGGCAGAAGCAGTAGATATATTTGTAAGGCAGAAACCCTGGACTATCTGGGAGAGGAGAGGGTAGAGAAGCCAGCAGGGCCAGGCCACAGGTAGGAGTTTGGGCTTTATTCTGGAAGGGCAGGAGAGAGACATGAGCCATAATGGAATAGGCTTTTAAAAGATTCTTCAGGCTCCTGGGGTGACAAGGATCCCAGAGCGTGGCTGTTGGACTCCTGCAGACAGAAGTGGCTTGAACAAGCAGGGTGAGGTGTAGACGGGGGAGTGCTTTGGGTCTGGGCTGGTGGGGCTTCCCGATGAGCTGCATAGCTTCTGTATCTGGTCCTACAGGCCCTGAGTTCCTGGAGGCTCACTGGGAGCACAGGTCCCAGGGCTGAGTGCAGGTACTGTTAGTGCACCAGGGGCCCCATCCAAGTAGAAGGTCTGGGGCCTGCCAGGATCTCTCCGGAGGCCACAGCTCACTCACACACACACATTCACACGTGTGTGTACAGGCACATATATACGTGTGTGTGCACCATGTGCAAATATGTACATAGACATAACACACACGTCTACACTGTGGACACATGCAGGCACATACTGGAAGACACATGCATGCACACAGACACCATATACAGACACCCAGGGCTGCCCCTTCAGCCCACCCTGCCCTCTCTCCGCAGACATTCTGCAGTACTACCTGGCCTGCTCGCCCTATGCTGCCAACCCCTTCCAGCAGGTGAGAGCCAGCCCTGCCCCGGGAGGCGGGGCCAGGTGCAGGGGTGGGGAGTGTCCAGGGCGCAGTGTGTAGAGGCTGAGCAGGCCCTGTTCTGGCCCTTGTAGCCCACACATTCACAGCCCACAGGCACCGCAAAGGCTGAGCAGAGGCAGCAAGGTGAACGCTGTGTTGGCATCACTTGCTGCCCTGGGGCTGCCACATTAGTGCCCTGGCACAAGCCTTCTGTTGTGACCTGCTTAATGCCGCCACAGCCCTGGACTCTTTTCACTCCATGGGCTGTCCTGGGCCACCCGTAGGGGGCATGGACCAGGCTGCCCATTGGGCAAGTGTGGGAGAAACGTTGGGGACACCTCTGTGGAATGCTGTCCGTTGAGTATCCTGGTGGTGGGACTTTAAGGGGTCCGCAGCACTGCTGCTCAAACCCTTTACCTGCTAGTGGTCATTGTACTGAATGGGATGGCTCCAGGTCCTGGAGCACTCTCTGCCTCGAGGATGCCTTGCTGTGTTCTCTAGTGTGGGCACAGGGTTCCCATCACCACCTTGGGCTGTGTTGTCCCTGGGTGTGTAGGCAGCTGGAGAGCAGGGTACGTCCTGGAGCCTGCAGGGCAGAGCTGGCTGGACCAGCCACCTGGGAATTTTCAGGCTGCCTGGGGCGGAGTGGGGGGAGGATGGACTGTCTAGCCACTGGAACTTACGCCTCTCTGTGGAGCAGAAGCTGTCAGGCAGCCACAAGGCACTGGTGGAGATGCAGGACACTGTGGCGGAGCTTCTGAGGAACGTCCCACGGGAGCACCCAGCCACCAAGGTGAGGGGCTGCAGGGCCCAAGGAGGCCCCTGGTGGGAGTCTGGGAGTCCTGTTTCCTACCCCTTTTCAAACAGTCTTTTTTATCCTCTCCTCCCTCCACTTTTGTTCCTTTACCCTGGGGATTTTTGAGATTTAAAAAAAATAATTATATTCTCTAAAAGTAATATAAATGCTTTCTGTTAAAAGAAATGGGGGACTAGGGACACAGCTCAGTGGTAGAGTGCTTGCCCAGCATGTTTAAGGCCGCACCCCAGCATCATCGGGGGGTGCTGGACATTTATACCTCATAGTCCTAGAAGCTAGGCAGGAAGCTCAAGGTGTGGCTGGGCTGACCCTGCCTGAGGCTGCCCTCCTTGGCTTGTTGGTCCTATCTTCTCTCTGTGTCCTCACAGGGTCGTGCCTCTTTGTGTGTCTACATCCTAATTGCCATTGTGTGACACCAGGCATATTGGGCTAGAGCCTAACCTGGTGACCTCAGCAACAATGTCTTGTCTCTAAGCACAGTGATCTGAGGTTCTGGGTGGGACCTCCGCACAGGAGTTTTAAGAAATAAAATGCAGACCATAACAATAGGTTCTGTTTTCTCAGGATCCCAGAGGGTCCTTAGAAAAGGTCCGACAGCTGCAATCCTAGCATCCTGGGAGGCTGAAGCAGAACAATCAACAAATTCAAGCCCAGCCTGGGCAACTTAATGGCTTGGCAAGACCCCCGTCTCAAAATAAAAAACACCTGGAGCATGTAGTTCAGTGGGAAGGCCCTGGGTTCAATCCCTGGTACCACAAAAAGCAAAAAGAAAAAGGAAACAAAACATGTAACAGGAGGCAGTGCAGGGTCAAGTCAGTGATCTAGAGGAGTCACAGTCCACCTTCAGGTGTTTCTGCATGGTCGTGTCCCACATGTGGGACAGGGCTGGAGGTGTCTGTGTATGTATGCAACACATAGAACACATGACCCTGTCATACATGTGTAACGGGTCAGGCTGTCCCTGTAGGTTTTTGTGTACTGTTTTATCACTTAAGGTAGTGTGAGGACTTTCCCTTGCCTTCCACTATTCCTTAACTAGGACTTTACCTTTTGGTTCTAGGGATTGAACCCAGAGCCTTGGCACTGAGCTGTATCCACAGTCCTTTTTTGGTTTTTGTTTTGAGACAGGATCTTGCTAAGTTGCCCACACTGGCCTTGAACATGCAGTCTTCCAGCCTCAGCTTCCCAAGTAGCTGGGATTATAGGCATGTGCCACCAGGCCTGGCTACTCAAAGTTGGATTTTTCACATCATGGCCCCGCCTCAGTAACTGACATGCTGTGGCTGTCTGTTCTCCCTTGATAAGGGAGATCTGTCTTCACTTAGTGATGACCACAGTAGAGGCATCCACATGTCCCCTGTCCCTGCAAGTCCGGGGCAGACTCCCAGGTCACCCTTCCTAAAGGCCAGGGTCCTCAGGGCCTGTGCCAAAGTGGAGTGGTCAAAAGTGGTTTTTAGGGCAGGTTGTGAGGTGGAGGGACACTTGGGTTTCTTGGGGGGTGCCCGTGGCTGACCAGGTCTCCCCATAGTGCCGTGCTGACCTTGAGTTTCACTTGCTCGCAGGACCCCCTGCTCCGTGTCCAGGAGGTGCTGAATGGCACGGAAGTGAATCTGCAGCATCTCACTGCGCTGGTAGACTGCCGCAGCCTGCACCTGGTGAGGGCTACAGCGGGCACAGGGTGCTGAGGAGGAGGTCAGGAGTCAGAGCAGCCTTGTGGGGTCGGAGGGGAGCTGCGGGGCAGGGCAGAGGTCAGGGGATCTGGGGGCCAGGGGCAGAGGGGAGCTGTGGAGAGAGCAAGGGTGGCCATCGAGAGAAAGAGGCTCACTCGCTGATGGGGGCCTCAGCCCAGCCTGGCATCAGGGTGTCCAGGCTGAACCTTACCTGGCCTGTCCGTCTCAGACATCTATCCTCTACTCTCTGTCCCTGCCCCTGTCGTGTGTCTCGTCTCTGCTGGCTCAGGACTACGTGCAAGCACTGACAGGCTTCTGCTATGACGGCATCGAGGGCCTCATCTACCTGGCCCTGTTCTCCTTCGTCACAGCCCTCATGTTCAGTTCCATCGTCTGCAGCGTCCCACACACCTGGCAGCAGAAGAGGTGAGGGCGAGCAAGGTCCTGAAATGTGGCCCAGTTGTCTTGGGGGTGGGCTCTTGTAGATGTCCAGCTTGTGGTCTCCAGAGGTGTGGGTCTCCGGCTCCAGCTGAGTACTCCCATTTCACAGAAGAAAACCTGAGCCCAGTGGAGCTCAGCCAAGGAGGGGGACCAGGGTCTCCTGTACCCTTGGCTTGGCCCTGCCCCTCCATCCTGAGGTGTGGGTTTATAGATCACCGTTCCTAAAGGCCAGGCCCTCACGGTGCAGGGTTGCAGAACTGCGTGGACCACAGCTATGTGATCTCCTGATGGGGGTAGATCAGATGGCTGTGACCTCTGCTTGGTGACTAGGATGCATTGGATCCAGCTCCCATGGAGCCACTCTGCTTTATCTTTGAAGTGGGGTTTCCTGCAGCCCCTGCCTTAGGCTCCTCATTTAGTCCTGGGTTGGTGGGGTGGGAGGTGTTGAGCTCCTTCCCTCATGGAAGCCCCGTGGTCCATCTCCTAGACCTTCCTTTCCTCCCATTTGGGTTGTGGCTGCTTCTTGGTGCCCAGCTTGGATGGCAGGTAGCTCAGCTCTGATTTATACCCTTTGCCTGGATTTCTGTTATTTTCCCTTGTAATGATGTTGCTGATGGTGATAAAGGTAGTAATGGGGGTGGTAGTGGTGATATTGGTGGCGATGGTGTTGATGTGATCATGGTGATGGTGATTTTAGTGGTGAATGTGGTGACAGTGGCGCTGGTGACAGTGATGGTGAGGATAATGACAGTGATGGTGGCAATGGTGGTGGTGGTGACAGTGATGGTAGTGGTAGTGATGGTGGTGATGGCGCTGGTGCTGGTGATGATGGTGGTGGTGCTGTGTTAATTATAATAATAATTACATGCTATAGCAGTGATAATTTTGTTGATGGTGTTGTTGATGGTGGTGATGGTGGTAATGACAGTGATACTGGTGACGGTAATGATGGTGATGGTGGTGGTGATGGTGGTGATGATAGTAGTGGTGACAGTGATACTGGTGATGGTAATGATAGTGATGGTGGTGGTGATGATGGTGGTGATGGTAGTGATGGCAGTTATACTGGTGATGGCAATGATGGTGATGGTGGTGGTGATGATAGTGATGACAGTGGTACTGGTGATGGTAATCATGATGGTGGTGATGGTGGTGATGACAGTGATACTGGTGATGGTAATGATGGTGATGATGGTGATGGTAGTGATGACAGTGATACTGGTGATGGTAATGATGGTGATGATGGTGGTGATGATGGTGGTGATGGTAGTGATGGCAGTGATACTGGTGATGGTAATGATGTCGATGATGGCGGTGGTGGTGGTGGTGATGGTG